CTTTTTATTGTTGCACTACCACTGAATAGATCTTGGATTCTTGTTTAGATTGTTTCGGCTAAAAACCGCTCGATCTCAAATCGAGTATTCAGGCTGCATACCGCTAAGTCGAAACTTAGAAAAGTCATAACTTCCTCATACGAAGTCAAATTTGGGCGTTCTTTTTATGCACGCTTTCGGTTTAACGTATTCTACGACTTTCATTTAGATCACTAAGGCCAAATATCGCTCTAATGTAAATTCACTATTTACGTCGCGCTGTGTCGTGCCGGTTCTGTCGTGAAACTTCGACATGCCATAACTTCTTCGTTATAACTCGGATTTCGGCGTTCTTTATATGCACGGAAACCTTGTGACATATACTAAAACTTAGTTAAGATTAATAGTTCTAAATAATCTTCATCAAAAAGTCATTTTTGATGTTTATCGTCTCTAATTGAATAGCCCTGATCTACGGGCGTTACAATTATCTCCCCCTTAGGATGATTACGTCCCGGAATCATCAACGAAATAGGACTTGTATAATGATTCCATACATTATATCTTCATCCTAGGTAATAATTTTAAGTTCTATGTTTCCTCGAAAGAGTATCTAACTCTTGGACTTCTCGATAGCAGGTAGTGCTCAATCCTGCATCTGCTCTTCGTACTATGTTGTACTTTCAATTGTAACCTTCGAGTTATAAAATAAATCCTTATTGAGGACTCCTTATTATTCTTAGGATAAGTACTTTCCTTTATCTAATGTAACAGACCGATGGGTCGTGTTCTAATGACCTCTCATCGCATGATGCAATGCTTAGACTCAGGTCTTTTAGAGTTAAATTCCAGAATGGAATATACCTTCCTTCATATGCTAATGTGATATAATCACATTTCAGCATGTAGCATTTCTAGCTACAACCTTGATTAACAACAAGCGTGATATAATCGATCGTATTAATTTCAACCTTCTGACTTACGTCAGATGTTACCTCGAAATTGGTTCTCTAAACCACGTAACATACTTACCGTAGTCGGACTCAATTTGATATGACCAATAGGGTCAAAATAACAACCATCTTACTAGTCACTACCGAAACAAGGGTAATGACATACTCGAATAAAACAGAATCAATCACTAGCTTCTTGGTAACCTTGTGACTTTCCCTGATCCAAGTGCGAGTCCTGTGCTTCCGGTAGTATATGCATCTACTACCTTTCACAACTACTCGTACTCATCCCAAGTATTGTCCCGCAGTCGACCAAGTCACCATACAAGAAAATCATACAATCATTCAACACACCAGATAGCAAAACTAGGGTTTATATTAATTCTTTGAAACTATTACACAAAAGTTCAAGTTCACCCTATACTATGCCTCTAATAGGCTACACCATAAGTTACGATTCACACTGATACTTCATAACTTGATCTTTGGATATAAAATCCTCATCCTTGATTCCTCGCATTGTCATCTGCTTCATCAAGGATCATTTGAAGTGCTCTTGCCTTTGGCTTTGGCAGCACATTTGGGTTTGTAATCTCTTCCCTTCCTGGGAAGTTTTGTTTGAAGTGTCCTTCTTCACCACACTTAAAGCAAGCTTCTCTTTTGTTTGTGCATTCGCTGACATATTGACCATTCTTCCCGCATTTGAAGCATGTCATTTCTTTAGTGCATCTCCCAATGCGCTTCCTCTTGCACTTATCACACCATTGTGCTTCTTTTTCGAACTTTTTCGAACCAGACTTCGAAAATTTTCTCTTTTCATCGGACCTTGAGGATCCTTCAAACATTCTTTTCTCGCCAACTTCAACCTTGCTGGCGGTTATTCCCTTAATTATATCTTCAACAAACTTGGTAGCCCAAATAGCCACCTCTAGAGTAAGTGCCTGACGCACTGGCACAGCATACTCCCATGAGAGTCCCTTTGCATACCGATCAACTTTAGTCAGCTCGTCTGGGATGATGCGCAAGGAAAACTCCATCTTGTTTCTGAAGGCATTAGTGTATTCATCAAATGAGATTCTCCCTTTTGTTAATGTCAGAAACTTGTTCTCCAACTCTAGCAGATTTTGGGCCGAGCAGAACTTGCGCTTGAATTGTACCAAGAACTCTTCCCAAGATAGTTACAGTGGCTCGTTAGGGCTTAGGGTTTTCCCCAGAGTGTTCCACCAGCGAACAGTGCCCCCTCTGAACCGACGCACTGCAAATATGGTTTGTAACTTGCCCTTACAACCACATGTCATAAAGGCTAATTCCATTTTTGAAATCCAATCCATGACTCCAACTGGATCCTCTTTCCTAATGAAGGTCGATGGTTTGCAAGTCAAAAAGTCTTTGTACTTGCATCCAAGTCCATCAATTCCTCCTTCTTGATGGTTTTGTCTAACTAACGGTGGGTTGGCTTGACTAATAGTCCCATTGAAGTTACCTCCCTCCGAATGCCCTCCATTCACTTCGGGCTCTTCCATTGAATTGACAGTTCTTCACGATTCTGCCTAAGCAGACGTCTCGTTTCTTCCATCTGACAATCCAACATTGTTTGAATCATCATTTGTATACCGGCCATTGTTATTAGCTCAGGTGCTGCTGCTACAACAGCCACTCGCTCAATCATAGGTGGTTGATTCATGTTTTCATTTGCATTTCTAGCTCCACTTCTGGTTCTTGCCATTTTTGATATACACACCGAATAAGGTGAATTTAGATCCTCATTCACGATAGATATTTAAATCATCCTTATCACTCTGAAACGTTTACATGCTAGTTCTAATATCGTAGTCATACGCTTAGAACCCTATACACATAAGGTTTCCAGATCCGGTCGGCAATAGACCATAGATCTGAAGAAATATTATCATATATGGAAAACATATAACATTTAGCACCTAAAAGCATTTTAGGCATCATTCCTAAAATAACTAGTGCTTGTGTCAATTTAGGTGTACTACCAAACATATTTTAGACACACTCCTCACAATCATTACTTAGTATTCTAAGTTTAAGTCTAGAAATTTCCTACAAATTCCTAGTTCGCTTAAACTAATGCTCTGATACCAACTGTGACATCCCCAATTTCTTGGCCAAAAAAGACCGACTTATTTATGCTTGTTTTTAAAATCAGAGTAATCTTTTAAAGAAAACAGTTGCGGAATTTGTTTCCAAAATATGATAAAGATTTATCAAAGCATTTCTTTAAAGAAATGTATTTTCATTATATAACAAAATCTCGGGATGTCATGTTCCGATACACACACATAAGCATAAACATAACTTACATTATTTACACTAAAGATTTTACATCTCCTTTAATCTCTCCGTGAAATATGTCTTTGTATCGATACCTGTCACTACAAGAAAAAGACCCTTTTACGACGCGCAAAACACGACGCTCTTTGATTTATGTTACGCATTAGAGAGCGACATTAAAAAAGTGTCATCTCTTCAAAAAAATTAAGGATTTAGGTCGCGCATTACTGAGTGCCCTTAAATTAGTGTCTCATGTAAAAATATTAAAAACACGGAGGGCACCTATAATAAAAAGGGCGTCCTCTACAAATGTCGCTTTATAATTTTAATAAACGCGCGTTTCTGGGACTCCTTGATAGGTAAGGGGGAAACTAAATCCCCCAAAATTTTGAACACCCGCTTCCTCTTCCTCTCTACTCTCTACACCCGCCAAATCGACTTCATTCTCTCCCTTCTTTCTCTCTGCAAACCCCTTCCTCTCCAATCGACTTTCACTTCCTTCTATGTGCAAACCCTAATCAAACATAACACATTTGAAATAGTAATATCTTCTTTGACAAAATAGAAGATTGATCGAAGAATGATTTTCTTTTGATGAATCGGACATCACCAACAACAATAGCTTCCATCATAATTTGTGTTTGCTTTCAGACTCCACCGTTACAACATCGCACCACAACACCAGCCCTGAGCCACCACCACACTGCCTTCGCAACAGCCCAGAAGCACCACTACACCACCACAGGTCTTTCAACAAACCCTAAAAAGTCGCAATCAGTTATCGCTCTATAGATTTAAGAGTTTTGGTTATCGTGGATATTGTCGATGTTCCTTTTCTACTATCAACTCTCTCAGTTGTCGCTGTTGGTATTGGTGGTGCGACGGCGTGGGTTGCCAGTGGCGGTGACCGGAGACGTTGTGGTCTTCAGGTCTCGCAAATCGATTGCGTCGTCGCAGTTCAGTTTTACGGCTATCATTTCTGATCAATTTAGTCTACGTAACGTCGCTCACGTCCATGGTCCAAGCCACCGTCGCTCTCCACCACCGATTGTCTCTACAGGTCAGTTAATGTCTCTTATTTTAAATTATGATGCCGAACGCTTCCAAAAGTCATCATCCTCGGGGACAGCAGGTTAGTTGTTTTTGTTAAATCTGGGTTTATTTTGGGGTTATCTACTTGATTGGAGTTGAAAATCATTCTCACTTGAAGCTGATCTCGATTATTATGTTGTCAAAAAGAAAAGTTTGATTTCATGCTTGTGTTGGTGAAATTGGTTATTGATTGTTTCATAGATTTATTATAGATTACTATAGGAGAAACAACTTGATATAAATCACGATCTCCGACTATAAACTATCATAAAATTTGTGTTTTTGACAATTCCTTTCTGACCTAGCTTCTGAACTTCCTAAATATTGGTGTTCAGACTGTGTATGTTGATGCAATCATCTCTTTTCATGTATATCTGTGTGAATTTTACATAGGTTTCATTCCCTGACTTGCTTATTCATTTGTTGTTTTATGTGATGCAGGGTAAGCAAGACCTCGTTGATGGATCAATATCCTGTATAACTTAGATTTGTTAGGGTTTATTCTTTTTTACCATTCACCTCTATTCTCCCTTTAGTCTTCAGGTATAACAATCAAATAGGATCGACAATGACATCTTTCATGTCTCTAAAAATCCAAAAATTTGAAATTTTAGAATACATTGAGCTCGTGTGATATGTGCCATTGTTGGGGATGATTATTATTGTTTGCCCTTAATGTTCAACTTTAGATATGTGAACAAGAAGTTTAGCAATCAATACAAGGCAACATTAGGAGTCGATTTCTTGACAAAAGAAGTGGAATTTGAGGATAGGCTCTTCACTATACAGGTTATATGTTACTGATTCTCATTTACTGAAGGGCACTAAGAATGTCCTTAAAGTACAAGTTGGAGGACCAAATCTGTAATTTCATATTTAGTGATTATCATTTGTTTAGAGCCTTGGAGTTGCTTTTTTTTTTTCGTGGTGCAGATTGTTGTCTTCTTGTGTATGATGTCCAACTTGGTGTTTGCCTCAAATGTTCAACAGTATGGATCGTCTTCTGCGGATCCCTTTACTTCTAAGAGAAAAAGGATAACTATTGAAGATTTAAGGGCGTTGTTGGATTCCTTTGTCAACAAGTACGCATATTTTATACATTTCTTGTTTGTACGCAATCCTGTTGAATAAAGTTCAATTTTTACTCTTATTTAGTTTATTTGGTTAATGTGATTTAATGATACTATACAGTGCAAAAATGAGGAAGAAGTTGTTGCTGTGATTGCTCATGAACTTGGTCACTGGAAACTGAATCACACAATGTACTTCTTCATTGCTGATCAGGTGTGCTGACATTTCTTTATTTCTTATAATTTTAACAATACAAATTTCTAATATATATATATATATATATATATATATATATTATATATATATATATATATATATATATATATATATATATATTAAAAATCCTTTGGTCTAAATATCAAGTTCTTACACTTTTGCAATTTGGAGGTTACACTACTAGAAAAAGTGAAATAGAATACAGAGAGATAAAATACGGTTATTAGTATCCCCGTATTAGATAAGGTTCATTTATTTACATAGTGGCTTAGAATACGGTTAAGAGGGAATATAATACAGCTTAAACACGTTATATTCCATTTATAGCATAGAGTACAGTTAACGATAGGTTAGAGTACACCGTATTAGATTAAAGAGTAGCACGCCTATTAAAAATTATAAAATTAATTACATCGTTTTGTTCTTTAAATAAATAGATCAAGTACTTTAAAATTTTAATGCCATACATCGTTTTTCAACTTACCTAAAGGGTATTTTCTGTAATTTAACAATAAGGGTAAAGGGTATTTTCTGTAATTTAACAATAAGGACAGTATGGTCATTATGTACATAAGTTAGTCAGTTAGATTTTTTTTGTACACAAGTATGTATGGTCATTGTAAACGGTTCTTTATTCAAGTTAACCTTTTAACTTTCTGTTGTTGGGACTTTCATTTGTGTATTGATCTTCTCCATTGCAACTTTTCAGAATTATACAAGTAACAGGGATATGTTGGGCTAGTGTGAATAGATTGGTATGCCAATCATGGATTATATTTTATATTTTTGTGTATATATTAATACCTTTGAAAGCTCTTAATTTTAAAAGTAATCTTGCAGTTCTTCTTGGAGCTCATTTGACTTCCTTGTTCACCTTGAGGCATTGTATTGTACTGCATTGTCAAATAATGATTTTCTAAAAAAAAGTACATAATATAATACAGTTAGTTTTGGATTTGATACTCAACAAGTTCTTATTGGACTCATATTATTCCTGATAGACTGATATTTTGATTTAACTATAAATCTTAATATTATTCTCAAAGTATTGGTTGTTGGGGTAAATTTGTTATGAAATGCCCAAAATGCCCCTAACTATCTAACATAACAAACTAGTAATATTAAATGCCTAAAATGCCCCTAACTCCTCTGCACTAATAAGATGCTCCTAGAATTTCTCTATATTGTTTAGATCATCAATTCAAATGATTCAAATGAATCATAACTTAGGATTTCTAGATCCTAACATAATTGTTCATATCTAATCACATGCAGATATATGAGTAGCATGATGTGGGATCTTTAGATAAGTCAAAACAGACAGCAGCTCAAGATCTTTTGTGTTTCCAATGTAAGCTCTTAATATGATTTATTTAAGTGCTAAAGTTAACATTTCAGAAAGAAACAACTCTTAATATGCTTGAATTAAAGCATGATAAATTTGATTAAGTTTTCAGAAAGAAACAGTTTTTTTAATATTTTTTAGTTTTTTTTTTGTCATTTTGTGGCTTGATAAATTTGATTAAGTGGCTAACCTATTTTTCATTAGGTTCATGTATTGGGTGCTCGTGATTTTCAGTTGGGCAAGATTGAAGTTCTCAGGGATCATAGAGCTGATGATATCAAATTCAATATTTTTGGTATTCCCACTTATTGTGCTAACCAGCGTGAGGTTGATACTCATGTATCAGATCATTAATGCAATCATGAGTGGGAGAGATGTTCTTGTGATCATGATTGCTGGTGGAGGCAAAAGTCTATGCTATCAACTTCCATCTAGTTTACATCATGGAATTGCTCTTGTTGTTAGTCCTTTACTTTCTCTTATTTAAGATCATGTGCTTATTTTTGTTTTTGTTAATATTCTATATCCTTTACTATTGATTACCTGATTATAAACTCTAATTAAGATTTTTTTTGCTTTAGGTCATGGGGTTAACTGCATTAGGGATCCTAGCATCTTTGCTTACCTCACCAACTAGTGAAGTTTATATACAAAGCTCTTGAAAAGGTTGAAGGGGATCTTAAAGTATTGTATGTTACACCAGAAAAAGTCTCCAAAAGCAAAAATTTGTGTCAAAACTTGAAAAATGCCACCATGCTGGACGTCTTTCCTTGATCTCAATTGATGTACACTCACTCTTTTTTTCTTAGTTTTTATAAAGAATTATTATTTTGAAAATTTAAATTTCATGTCTTTTTGAATTTTCAGGAAGCACATTGTTGTAGTCATTGAGGACATGACTTTCGTCTAGATATATATATATATATATATATATATATATATATATATATATATATATATATGAATAATGGTAAATGAATATTCGATTAGTTTGTATACTTTTAACTTTTAATATCTGCCAACTGATTTACTTGATATTGCTATATGAAATGTTACAGGTCATCAAAACTTTACTCCCATATCCTATGAAGAAGGAGCCTTTACTTGTTGAAAATATACCAATCTACAAACATGGTACCAATCTCCTCTGCTATGGCTGAAACTTGTGCCTTAATTTTTCAGAAAATCTACAAACAGTATATAATAAGTTAGTTTCAACAAGTAACTAATACATACTACTTTGTTCTATTCTTATTTATAATAATTCACTCTTGTATTTTTTTCTAGTACTTTATCTAATCTGTTAACTTTACTTGCTTTCTTTTTTAGAGTTTATACAGGGTCATTCATGACTTCTCTTGATTTGCAGGTTTGTTAAGTTCATTTTGTTTTCTGATGCAAAAAAAGTGGCTAATATCTTTGTGTTAGTTGTGTTGTGGTGTAGTTGATATTGATTATTGATTAGTTGATATTGATTTGAATATGGTTGATTCCACTCTCATACATACCATGTGTATTATTAATTAGTTGATATTGATATTGTACAACTGACATGATTATTGTGTAGGATTTTCGTGTTGTTCTTGATAAAGAGTTGGGATTGATATTGAAGCTAAGAGACATGATGAAGGGTTTTAGAGCTTCTTCAGACACCTTAATGACAAGTTACTGAAACAAGAAGGTGCCCCTTTATAGCAATGTAGTATTACGTTATATTGTTAGGGAAAACCTCTTAATAACAATGTAAATTTAATTTATATATTGTAAGAAATAGAATTGTATGACATTAAATTTTATGCATTGTATTGTATTTTTTGTATATGGTATTTTATTTTTATTATGAGACATTAAATGAAAATTTAATTTAAAAACTAATAAATATATAAATATATTTTTTTAAACAATTAAATTTACGATACGCAAAAATGTGTGTCATCTTCATTTATGACATGGCCTTTCTTGACAGGGGCTTTCTTGATACGCATTGCATGTCATTAACACGCGCGTCGTAAGGTCACGACATGCGAATGCGTGTCGTCTTTCTTTATGACAGGGCTTTCCTTGATACGCATTGCGTGTCGTAAACACGCGTCGTAATTGCATGTCGTAAATGCGCGTCGTCTCTCTTTATGACAGGGTCTTCCTTGACGCGCATTTGCGCGTAGTCTGAGCCTTTTACGACGCGCAATGAGCGTCATAAAAAGCTGTTTTTCTAGTAGTGTGTGATACAAAGGAAACTGAGTGGTCAGACTTGGGAGCCTGGTGAGCATATAGGGTTTTCATCCCATAATGTTATATCACATATTTATAAATATAGAATATTCAAACTTGTACAATTTCACCATATAAAGGCAACTCTTATCCCACCCCATTGATCCTCACAACGACACGATCTAAACTCTCGTATCTAAAATTTTCCTCTTTACCCGATCCCTACTCACGGATCTAAAACTATCCTCTTCACCTGAGCCATACTCACGGATCTAAAACTAACATTTTCACCTGATCCATACCCACAGATCTAAAACTAACCTTTTCCCCTGATCCATACTCACGCATCTAAAACTACCTGATCTATACTCGCAAATCTCTAACTAACCTCCTGATCTGATCCATACTCCCGGATCAATAATTGTACCCAATCCATACTCCCGGAATAGGGACAATTAACTATACCTTAATCCTGATCTGATCCATACTCCCAGATCAATAACTGTGCCCAATCCATACTCCCGGACTAGGGACAATTAACTTAGTCTTAATCCATACTCTCGGACTAATAACAAGTTTTATCTCTTTACCTGATCCATACTTCCGGATCTAAAACTAACCTCTTGGTCTAATCCATACTCACGGATCTAAAACTAGCCTCTTGATCTGATCCCTACGGATCTAAAATTAACCTCTTGATCTCATTATCCAACTCATCCTTTTATCACACACCAACTATCTCATCTACCCAACATATTTGTAGATATAAAATACATATACAATTTAACTCATTTAAAAACTATATAAAACATCCATTACACACTCATCTCAAATAAACAACAATATATAAACATATACACGTGTTTTTATAACAAATACTTCATATTTATGTGTTAGAAAAAAGTAACCACACACTCACTTGATCAGAATATGATCGGGCAGCGCCTCGTCTCTTAAAATAATCTTTTGCGATGAAACTGGGATGTTTTCCTCCAAAACCGGGCTTCACGCGGGCAAAGCTTCGGCTCGGGAATCTTTCTTCTCAGGATCTTCGGGTCTCAGGAATGATACCAGGGCTTTGTGGGGTGGGGGTGGGGGGTAAAATAGGGCTTAAAGAGAGGATCAGAAGTGGGAGAATAAGAGATGAGCAACCAAATCGGCTGACCCTTGAAATCTATTTATAGGGGAAAAAAAATGCTAAACTCACCTCGTGAGTTTTTAATTCTCACCTCGTGAGTTTCTAATATTCCCTTTGTGAGTGTAACACCGTAAAATTCAAAACAAAATTTTCGATTTTTATAAAAACATAATTCCATCAATATTCATCAAACAACCATTTTAATTATCCAAAATAGGTCAATACAAAATCCCAAGATCACAATGTAAAACTCCAAGCGTGTGTGTGTACGGATCAAGCCGGCGCCTTCCCGCGATCGTCACTAGTACCTGAAACAATAACATCAACCACTGTAAGCACAAGGGTTAGTGAGTTCCCCAAAATACCACATATAACACATATTAGCGACTCGAGGCTATAACTCTGTGGGTCCGTGCACCCAAACTCCGTGAACCCTCAGGTTCTAGCTCTGATAAACATGCACTACATAAATCACATAGAAATAATGCAGTACAACACATAACATGCATAGCATACAATACTCTGTCACATAACTCAGGTTACCTACTCAAGGTAATATAGTATAGTGAGAAGACTCACCTCGCGTATCTCGGTATCTCACGAATCCTAGAAATCCCTCGTGCTCGATCCTCCGAGCTCTAATCCTCCTATAACATTATATGCTTCTAATTAACACTTTGTATCTCTAAGGTTGACTATTTATAAGGAGTCAACACAGGTCAACTCTGGTCAACGGTCAACGGTCAACTCTGACCGGACTCGGCGAGTACCAAGGAGACTCGGCGAGTCTAGACATTTTCACCACTCTCTGAAATCCTCTTACTACACGTCGAGTATCCCCCCTTTTACTCGACGAGTTTCACCTGAATGAATCGCGGGGCCACCCCGACTCAACTCGCCGAGTCTCAAGGACAACTCGGCGAGTCTAGGTTTGACTCAGTCCACTCGTCACCCCCTCCAACTCACCCTGACTCACTGAGTCTACCCATGACTCGATTTGGACCACTCGCAGAGCAGTCCCAAGGCAATCTTCAAGCTACTCGCCGAGTCGGATGAACAGACTCGGCGAGTCCATGCCATGCAACCACTCCAACTTGCTTCTAAGGTCAGATCTGCTTCCAAAAACTATAGATCTGGCCTCCCTTGACTGATTCATCACGTAAAGCTCCTATCTTGGTGCTCATAACACACCCTATAACTCAATAATGGCGTTTTTGACCCAAGGCATGAGGATTCCAATCCAAAGCCTTCATTGATCCCAAAAAGCTTTGGGTAAAGGGACTCTCTGGACCTCTAAGGGTCCAGATCTATGGTTCCATCCTCATAAGGGACCAAAATGGCACCAAATCTAGCCATGAAAGGGTTCAACAAACCCTAAATCTAAATAAACAACAACAAACAAGAAGGTAATTCGGATTTATTACCACAAAATGATGCTCTGGACTCCTAACCCACAGAAATGGCTCCTTCTTGCTTCCCCTTTGGCTAGCTCTTCTCTTCCTTGCAAAAATGGCACCTCCAAGGTCAATAATGGCCTCCTACTTAGCTTCAAGTGCTCACACACGATTAGGGTTTCACTCAAGGGGCTGGTGGGCACAAATGATGGCCATTAGGCCCTTTAAATAAGTCTCAAACCCGAGAATTTAGGGTTTCATTACTCAGCGCAGACTCGTCGAGTCCATATCATGGACTCGCCGAGTCCAGGCGCGATCCTTCGCCCAAATCCGCGTCTCTACTCGGCGAGTCTGAGCTCCAACTCGCCGAGTCCCCCTCACAAATCAACAAAATACAATTTACACGATACCTGATAAAAGTCCGGATGTTACAGTGAGCTCGATACGTCATTGCGTACATCATGTCCACTTGCCCTGGAAGACGTCCATCATCTGCTCACCTCATGAGCCACTTAATGCTCACCTCGTGAGCTCTGACAGGGGTAGAAGTTCGTGCCCCGAACTTTAAAAATTCATATCTTTCGCATACGAGCTCCGTTTTCGACGTTCTTTATATCCATACGTAGGTAAAAACAAGATCTACAACTTTCATTTAGACTTCGTCGGATAATTTTGACTTTCATTTTAATATATTATTTTTAGTAGGTCAGGACATGAAAACTCCGTTTAAAATTCATAACTCCTTCATCTGAACTCCGTTTTCGTCTATCTTTTTATCGTTGCACTACCATTGAAGAGATCTTTGATTCTTTTTTAGATTGTTTCGGCTAAAAACCGCTCGATCTCAAATTGAGTATTCGGGCTGCATACCGCTAAGTCAAAACTTAGAAAAATCATAACTTCCTCATACGAAGTCAGATTTGGGCGTTTTTTTTTCTGCACGCTTTCGGCTTAACGTATTATACGACTTTCATTTAGATCGATAAGGCCAAATATCACTCTAACGTAAATTCACTATTTACGTCGCGCTGTGTCGTGCCGGTTCTGTCGTGAAACTTCAACAGGTCATAACTTCTTCGTTATAACTCGGATTTCAGCGTTATTTATATGCACGGAAACCTTGTGATATATACTACAACTTAGTTAAGAGTAATCCTTTTAAATAATCTTCCATCAAAAAGTCATTTTTGATGTTTATTGTCTCTAATTGACTAGCCCTGATCTACGGGCATTACAATATTAATATTAATGACATATTCATTTTGGGTGACACAATAACTGATTTAAGAAATTAATGATATGAAAGAATAATAGGTTCTATATTAGCATCATTGTCCAAATCCAATACAAAAACATGATTTTAGCAACCCTTAGGTCAAATACACGCTAAACATAACCAAATTCGACATGTTAACACATGAAGAAGTGTGACCCTACCGCCTAGGTGGCAATGAGCCAAAATTTATGTACTTCCACTCGGGTTTACTAGATTTTAAGTCAAGGGAAAAATTGTCATTCATCGGTTCTATAATGACATCCTTGCCGCCAAAAAAAACCACCCGGTTTCCAACCGCGCACATACTAAAGTTACACCGAGAGGGTTCAACCCCCTTCCAATTGTCAGCTTCTGTCGTGCATCCTTCTCAAGGGTAGTCAACTCCTTAGATAAACTAACCTACCATACCCTCTTCATTCACCGCCAACATGCCATTGAGTATTTTTCGATTCTTGAGACATGTTGATGGGTATTGTTGTTATAACTAAAAAAAGTACTCGATTAATCCTTTTAGTTAAACGGTTAGCAACAATCTTATATTGGCATACACTTATTCTAATCAACCTAAAATCTTTCACAAAAATAGGTCTTTGGTTTTTCAAATCAAAGTGGTGAAAAATAATTACAAGCTTTTACACAACACAAAATATATT